CGCGCCGGCCGCTGCGCCTGCGCAGAAGCAGCGGCGCCCCGCGCCGTCGTGCCGGGCTTCCGCCGGGGTCGGAGAAAGGCGGTCTCCCAGCCTTTCCACTAACCTCCCCCGCGCAGAGAGCAGAGCCTTTACCGGGACGGTTGGGCGGTGTGTGCGGCAGCGTGAAAAGGCGATGATTTGGGGCAACAGCCATATTCCTACACGCCGGCCGCTGCGCCTGCGCAGAAGCAGCGGCGCCCCGCGCCGTCGTGCCGGGCTTCCGCCGGGGTCGGAGAAAGGCGGTCTCCCAGCCTTTCCACTAACCTCCCCCGCGCAGAGAGCAGAGCCTTTACCGGGACGGTTGGGCGGTGTGTGCGGCAGCGTGAAAAGGCGATGATTTGGGGCAACAGCCATATTCCTACAAATATTCAGCTCCATTTTCAGTGACTACGGGGAAATGAAAACTTTGCCCATTTTATACACAGCGTTGAATAACAAGGTGTTTCCCAAGTAATTGAAACACGTAAAGACACGTGTTTTTATTATGTTTCCTAGGGAAACACTACAAATCTGTAAAATAAGTGTGCTTATGAAAGTAGTACGCACACTGACTCCTGTGGACCATATTCTGTGACAAGGGCCCAGAAACGTTTTCTGTAAAGAGCCAGATTGCAATTTTTTAAAGAGCTATACAGTGTCTACCAAACGAGGCAATTCTGCCCAGTACCACTCCATCACTGACACATGGTGAGTCTTCAGTGTGTTAAAAAGAAATAAATTCACAGGCATTCTGCAAAACAGTTCATCCCGTTGCTCATGAAGTTAAACATATGACTTCAGAACAGCAATCCCACTCCCGTTTAGCCAAGTGAAATGAAAACGTGTTCATATGAAAATCTATGTGCAACTGTTTATAGAGGCTTTCTTTCTAATCAGAAAAAAAAAAAAAACCAACTGGAAACTCTAATGTTCAACTGGTGAATGGATACTGTACATTCATGTAATAGAATATTCTAAGGAATAAAAATAAACTACTGAAAGGCTGCATGCTGTATATATGACATTCTGGAAAAGGCAAAGCCATAGCTACACAAAACATAAGTGGCCGGCAGGAAACAGGAGGGAGGAAGGGGTTGACTACATAGGGACACAAAAAATTTTAGGAATGATGGAATCTTCATTGTGGTAGTGGCCCCACAACTTTGTCTAAACTTGGTAGAACTGTGAACTAAAAGGGTGAATGTTATTGTATTTAAATTATATCTTAAAAATGTACAAAGAACTAAAAATACCATCTGGACTAACCTCTAAGTACCTCGTTACCACAAAAATTCTCATTGACCAGACTCTAATAACTGTATAGCTCTGTAAATTCCTCAGTATGACCAAATCCCCGCTCCCCTCAATTGCTCCAAAGCCTTCTACTGAGTGTTTGGAAACTCATTCTGTCATCAGCAAAATCCCTTGCTCTGTGCCTTTTCTCCAAACATCCCTCCACCTTCCTGCTTTAACTGGAACATTGCTTTCCTCTGAAGACTGCTTCCCCTGCAGCAGCATCGCAAGAAGTAGATCTGTTTCTTCCTACATCCCATGTGTCACTGGACTTGAGGATGACATACAAGACATTGTCCTTGGACCCTTGCAAAGTGGAGACCATTTTCTCTCCTTCAGCAAAAATCCCAGCTCCAAAAAGCTCATGCCAACATAAAACTCCCCCGCCTTCTCTCTCTCTACGTCACCCCCCTCTCTCTCCCTGTGATAATTTTCCAAGACTACTCTTAAAATTTATGACCACAAACATGAGGTAGGACCTCAGTCCTAAGTATTTCTCTCTCCTAATTTCCTATACAATTTCATACTGTTCTCTCTCAATCCCACACTCCACCCCACCACACTCCTAGCTGATATTGTCAACTTTTATTAATTGCACAGAAGAAAAAAAAAAAGACAATCAGAATAAAATCACCTTATTCTACCAGCACCAAATCTACCTAACTCCATATGTGGCCGCACACACTGCCCCGCTTCCTGTTAACATTGAATGAATTGCCAGTGACCTCTAACGCAGCCCACTGGAGAGCATCTTCTTTCCGAGCATTTTGCTTCTGCAGTTACCTGATCACCTAGTTCAGTACTGATCGGTTACTTGATCAATACTGAACTACTCCCACCTGCAAAACAAACTGCCAATAGAACTTAGAAGGAAAAGAAAAAACCCCTTTGTAGACCATATGTTGTCTTTCAGCTACCATTTGTTTGAGAGATAGAGGGGAGAGGGACAGAAGGAGCAGGAGGGGTCATCCATATTTTGTCTTTGCTCATCTCTTGATTTCTCCTTAAGCCACAGTAATGAGATGTCTAGGCCCACATTCCATTCCTCTACAACCTCTCCTGTCACAGTGGGCAGCAGCCTCCACTTTATCAGATGCAACAGTCAAATCTCAGACCTGTCAGCAGCATTTGACATTGTAGATCTGCGCCTAAGTTTTGTCACGTATAATGTGAGAATAATACCTACCTCGCAGTTACTGTACATATTAATGAATCAAAATATAGCCTTTGGAAAATATTCTGGCACCATAAATTAGTATTATGATTATCGATCACTTCTCTCCTACCTTCTCGAGACACGGTTCCTTCTTCTGCACTATCATGTTCTCCCGCTGTTCTTACAACTCACTGGCCACTCCTCAGTCTATCTTTCTCGGGAAGACGTAACAAATTCATTTCCTGTTCTATTATTCCTTTCCTAAGCGAATTCGACGTCTTTACAGGCACGTTCTGACAAACCAAATGTGGCATGAAGGTGGGAGTGATGATGGACACCTGCAGGCACTGTTGCTTCCTAACGTCTGTGTTTTCCACACTCTTGGCCCTCTGAACGTGCAGTACACTTTGTAGCCTCTCATAGGTTCGTTAGCCTAAAATAAGAAGGCCCTTTGAAGTGAGAGGCAACAGCATTTGTTTGAGATCAGTAAGAATAGCGATTCAAGAAGCACTGACTCACTCAGGCAGAAGCCCAAATAGTGTTCGGATGAAGACATAAAGGCCATGGTGTTTATCAGAAGGGAAGAGGGACAATGACATTCATAAAAGGCATTGCTCTCGGTGCAGATAACATAACATAGTGATGTCAATTCTCAAGAATGTTTTGGGTTTTCAGTCCGGTAGCCATCAGTCCAGTAGTCATAAGATCTGCTTTCTGGTTTTTTTGCAAACAGTTTTTTTGGAACATAGTGTCGCCTTAGGCCCAGTCCAAAGGTCATCTTGCCAGTTAACATCCCAAAGGTTTGAGGCCTAAGACGTGCAAGGCAGTTCCTCTGGTGTGGCAACTCCGGCTCCATTTTAAAGTGGCTCCGTTTTTTTTTTTTTGACAGGTTCATGCTGGTAGGTCTTCACAGCCTGCAGAGTCAGCTGACCCCCATCGCAAGGCACCTTGGCCATTCTTTACAGCAGATGACATAGTGTTTGTCCTTCAGCCTTTCATAAACCACCGTTGGCGAATTCCTTTCAGTGATGGTGGCCTCTTGTGTAAGCGTGGTCATTGCGAAGGCCCGTGGATGAGAAGAATACACTCACCTCTCATTAAACTGACACTTGGTTTGTGTGATGGAAGTAGGTCCACAACAGAATGTTCTTAGATGTATGTCAAAGTCCCACTGGTTCCCAAGATCTCAGGGTGCAACACTTTTGCAGGAGTGTGCGACTCACACTCGGTCACGAGGCATTGGTGGCCATGAAACCTGGTGAATCGTCTTCTTCTCCTCCATCACATCCACTCCCACTACTCAGGCGTTCTGTCACAGCAGCTCTGGTGACAAGTCCCCATGCCTGGGAAGCACATGCCCCAAATTCTAACATCTTTACCTTCACGCGCCGTGGGCACAGGAGGCTCCTGGGTTAATGGGTCTCAGGGTGTGGTCTCCATTTCTCTGATTTTTAAAAATGTCCTCTACTTCACTTTTTTTCTTTAAAGGCACTATAACTTCTGTTTATCTCCTTGTTTTATCTCATCTTTACTTCTGAAGTTGTTTATTTCTAATTCTTTCTCGAGATCTGTAAGTTAATTTCTGAGCTTTCCTATTTTTAATTCATGTTGTTCTATCAACTCATGAGTCAATATCTTGGGAGTCCTTTTGTCCCCTTTATCGTTTTGAAGAAAAATGTGCTGTTTTAATGCTTTCTTAGCGTGTCTTTCTGGCATGTTTTTATTACCTCTTTCAATTTGTTCTTTATTCTCTTGTAATTATTTGTGTTTTTGGCTGTGGTATTTTTGCTTTTTTGTACATTGAATTGTTTTTTCTGAATCATCAGGAAGTGTGTTTAGGGGAGACAAAGCTCTTCCGTCTGCTGCTTTTGTGTGGCATCACAAAACTATGTCAACCTGCTTTCCAAGATAGCCTGGCTGTCCCTGCTTACACGTTCCCCCAGATCTCTCTCTGCTTGGTCCTCTATCGCCCCTAACCAGCTCAATTCTGATTTCTCCGTGTGGGGCCTAATTCTTTTTTTTTTTAAAGGGGCCTCATTCTTGAAGAGCACCCCAACTGTTCCGTTTCAGGAGCTGAGGCCCCTCCTCTGGACCCCTCGTACTCCTCAGTCATGGAATTAGGAGAGCCCCCTCCTGTCCAGGTGTGCCCGGACTGGCCTGCCATACCTGTCAGTTCAGTACCTGTGGGCTCCTGGAGGTTCTTCTAGTCTCAGATCCACCATGCCCTATGCCTTGCTTTCCCCCATTGGGCTGACCGTGCTCGGAATTCGTCCCCACCCACTTGTATTTTGTAATTTGTGAAGACACCTTGTCACTTATTGTTAGAAAAAATGTTTTCATGGGGTTTTGGTGTTGCTATTTGCTTCGTTTTTAATGGTGATTAGGGACGGTCCAAACATCGTGCTGTCACTGCAGCTGCCATCTCAATTGTTGGTTCTTAATGAAGGCAAATTTGCCAATCTATTTTTATTTTTTATGGTTGTTTTTCTCCTTTTACTCTGTTATTGTGGTAAACTATTATCAATTGATTCCAAATGTTAAACCAGGCTTTTATTCCTGATGTAACCTTAGTTAAAATATATCATCCGTTGTATTACTACAATCTATCACTAATATTATACTTTGGCTTTTACTATGTTCATGAGAGAATGACCTGTAATTTTTTTTTGTTATTTTTGTCACGTTTTACTTATCAGGATATTTCTGGCCTTCCAGAAAGTTGGAAAGGGCCCTTTTGTTTTTATTCTCTGGGAGTGTATGTATAAGATTGGTGTTATTTCTTCCTTAAGGAATATTTCACCGCAGAGGAATCTGAGCCTAGTTTTCTTTATGGAGTGCCTTGTAACTTCAGAGACAACCTCTTCAGTAGAGACGGGCCTATTCAGATTTTGTTTTTATTTGGGAGATTGGATATGCTGTGTTTTTCAGACGGCTTGCCTGTTGCACCAAGCTTGTCCAAGTCTGTGACCTATGCATTCATGGCGTCTTCAGTGGCCCTAGGTTCTCCAGTGATGCTCAACATTGGCTAGCTTTCTATTTTCCAATCTCTTGATCAGTTTTGCTGCAAGTTTACATTATTCGTTTGTAAATGGATGACTTATGAAAGTCTTTTTAACACCCATATAAGTGAGGTGCCAGTCCCATTTCCCAGGTTTTAGGATCCCCTTGCTTTTACCTGTAGAACCAAACTGGATTAATTGCAATTACCTCTATAAGTGACGTCTGGGACATTAGATCACTATCACGTGCTCTCCACATCTAAAATCACTACTACTCTAAAAAATACATCAGTTACAAGGTTTTGAAAACCTTCTGTAGTCCTCAAGGTTACAGCACCATCTTCCCAAACTTCTTCCTCAGTAACAGATGTGGGCTCAAAGTTTTCTTCCAGCTCCTGTTAAATTCTCAAGTTCCTCATCTCATCCCAACATAATCAGGCTGTATAATTCAACAACGTCAAGGACTATTCCAGTTCTAAGATCTTGCACCTCCGTCTCCAAATCCTT